CAAGGCGAAAGCCACTACTGACCAAAAAGAACACAGGCTCATCTCACATTTGGGAAAAAAAAATCTTGATTATGCTCAAGACGTTTGGGCAAATATTCTGTGGACTGATGAGACAAAAGTTCAACTTTTTAGAAGGTGTGCGTCCCGTTACATCTGGCGTAAAACTAACACAGCATTTCATAAAAAGAACATCATCCCAACAGTTAGACATGGTGGTGGCAGTGTAATGGCCTGGATGGTGAGGACCTGGATGACTTGCCATCATTGATGGAACCATGAATTCTGCGCTGTACCAGAAAATCCTGAAGGAGAACGTCCGGCCATCAGTTCCTGATCTCTAGCTCAAGCACACTTGGGTTATGCAGGAGGACAATGGTCCGAAACACACCAGCAAGTCCACCTCTGAATGGCTCCTCATAAAAAAAAAAAAAAAGTTTTGGAGTGGCCTAGTCAAAGTCCAGACTTAAATCGATTGCGATGCTGTGGCATGACCTTAAACAGGCCGTTCATGCTGGAAAAAACCCCCAATGCGGCAGAATGAAAACAATTCTGCAAAATGCCCAAAATTCCTCCACAAAGATGTGAAATTGCCAGTTATCCCCCAAACTTCGATTGCAGTTGTTGCCGCCAAGGGTGGCCCAACCAGTTATGAGGTTTAGGAGGCAATTACCTTTTCTCTGTGAAGGAATTTTGGGCCACTCTTCTTTGCAGAATTGTTTTCATTCAGCCACATTGGGGGTTTTTCCAGCATGAACGGCCGGTTTAAGGTCATGCCACAGCATCTCAATAGGATTTAAGTCCGGACTTTAACTAGGCCACTACAAAACTTTTTTTTTTTTTGAGGAACCATTCACAGGTGGACTTGCTGGTGTGTTTCGGACCATTGTCCTTCTGCATAACCCAAGTATGCTTGATCTTGAGGTCAGGAACTGATGACTGGACGTTCTCCTTCAGGATTTTCTGGTACAGCGCAGGATTCATGGTTTCTATCGATGATGGCAAGTCATCCAGGTCCTGACCATCCAGACCAATACACTGCCACCACCATGTCTAACTGTTGGGATGATGCTCTTTTTATGAAATGCTGTGTTAGTTTTACATCAGATGTAACGGGACGCACACCTTCTAAAAAGTTGAACTTTTGTCTCATCAGTCCACAGAATATTTGCCCAAAAGTCTTGAGCATAATCAAGATGTTTTTTGGCAAATGTGAGATGAGCCTTTTGTGTTCTTTTTGGTCAGTGGTGGCTTTCCTCCAGAGAGATGTGAAAGACTCATTGCCAGTTATCCCCAAACTTTGATTGCAGTCGTTGCCGCCAAGGGTGGCCCAACCAGTTATGAGGTTTAGGAGGCAATTACTTTTTTACATAAGGCCCAGGCAGGTTTTGGGCAAGCTTTTTTTTTCCCTTAATAAAGGAAATCATTTAAAAACTGAATTTTGTATTTATTCAAGTTATCTTTGTGTAATACTACTTTTTTTGATGATCTGAATCATTAAAGTGTGGCAAAATAAGCAAAAAAAAAATCAGGAAGGGGGCAAATACTTTTTCACGGCACTGCACACTAGAAGATATTTGAATGAAAAGTCTAAGCTTTAGAGCAGGGGTGGCTAACCTGTGGCTCTCCAGCTGTTGTGGAACTACATTTCCCATGAGGCATTGCAAAGATGGGAAGTTACTGACTTGCAGAGGCATGATGGAACTTGTAGTCCTGCAGCAGCTGGAGAGCCGCAGGTTGGCCACCCCCTGCTTTAGAGTGACAACTCTGGCTCTGTCTCACAAAATCTCTCCTTCGTTGTCACCCTACCACAGAGGAGTGAACTTAAGCTGGCCATATACGGATCCATACGGATACGGTTCAAACAGGAACGGGCCGAATTCCGATCAGTGTGGCCATCCCCACATAATCAAACGCAGCTGCTGATCAGCGTATTCCAACAGCAACGGGCGCTGGCAGAATACAATGTCCTTGCGGGGGGGGGGGGGGGGGGGGGGGGGGGTTTGTTTGAGTAGACCAGGGCAAGGGGTCTCCAAACTATGGCCCTCCAGCTGTTGAAGTACTAAAAGTCTCATCATGCCTCTGCCACAGGGAGTCTTGCCTGTGGCTGTCAGAGTCTTGCAAGGCCTCACGGGACTTGCAGTTCCTCAACACCTGGAGGGCCGTAGTTTGGAGACCCCTAGACGGCGGAAAAAGAAGATTAAAAAAAACCACGTATGGCCAGCACACCAACACACTTTGCATAGGCACGATCCACTGTTGTCACCATCAGGAAGCTCACAGGAAGAACCAAGCAGGGGTCTCCAAACTACGGCCCTCCAGCTGTTGCAGTACTACAAGTCCCATCATGCCTCTGCCACAGGGAGTCTTGCCTGTGGCTGACAGAGTCTTGCAAGGCCTCACGGGACTTGCTGTTCCTCAACACCTGGAGGGCCGTAGTTTGGAGACCCCTAGACGGCGGAAAAAGAAAATTAAAAAAACGCGTATGGCCAGCACACCAACACACTTTGCATAGGCACGATCCACTGTTGTCCCCCATCAGGAAGCTCACAATGAAGAAGAACCAAGCAGCCATCACTGAAGTGTACGTAGAACTAGAAAATCTACAATTTCTGGGGAAATTGTGTAAAGTGTTCTTGCAAGTAACCTTTACCAAGTAATGATGAAATGTAAGCAGTGCACATAGCAAGCCTGATAGTGAGAAATGGATTTCAGCTTGTATTTTGCAGCTCACAGTTAGCCTGGAGACTCAGCTGCCTCTTGAGTGACCTTTGGTTGCTATAGCAACTCACTCAGTCAGGAATGTCAGCAAGTCTTTCTAAACACGCTGTTTAAACTTGCCAACTTCACTGGCGATTGCCATCTTCAAACGCTTGTAGTTTTAAAAGTATAAATACTACTGCGAAAAGGTTGATATTGTGAGAATCACAAGAAACAGATCTAAATTTTGATGTATAGTATGTCTCTGAATAATGAAGGCACAGTCGCAGTTTAAAAACGTCCCTTAACATTTCAGGTGGCTCTGAGTGAAGTTTCAATGAAAGTCAATGGGAGGGGTGAGTTGCAAACAAATGGTCATATTCTGAAAACTATGTCCTAGCCGTGAACATTTTTAGTGACAGCAGGGTTAGCTGAACGTTTTGATATAAGATATGTGTAGGTGGGCTTGAAAATGACAGAGTGATGGCAGTTTACAAATCATGTTCTGATTTTTCCTTGCCACCCTGTAGCTGTGCTCTGCTCCACATTCTAGATGCACCATTCATTCCTATGGGAAAATTTCGCCACAAAAACCGCAATATTTCTTGAACGATTCGGCGAAACGTTCTACAAAGGAATAGCAATCCGATCGGGAACAATCCGCACGTTTTGATATATTGTCTTTGTAGTGTAAAAACTGTGGGAGGAGTTAGGGTGGCAAATATGGCTATAATAATAAGAACTAGAAAATCTACAATTTCTGGGGAAATTGTGTAAAGTGTTCTTGCAGCCAACCCTTTACCAAATGATTGATGAAATGTAAGCAGTGCACATTGCAAGCCTGATAGTGAGAAATGCATTTCAGCTTGTATTTTGCAGCTCACAGTCCAGCCTGGTGAGTCATCTGCCTCTTGAGTGACCTTTGGTTGCTATAGCAACTCACTCAGTCAGGAATGTGAGAAGTGCTGTTCTAAACACACTGCTCCAACTTGCCAACTTCACTGGCGATTGCCATCTTCAAACGCTTGTAGTTTTAAAAGTATAAATGCTACAGCATAGAGCGTGATATCGTGACAATCACAAGAAACAGACCTACATTTTGATGTATAGTATGTCTCTGAAAGATAAAAAATGAAGGCACAGTCGCAGTTTAAATACGTCCCTTCAAATTTCAGGTGGCTGTGAGTGAAGTTTCAATGAAAGTCAATGGGAGGGGTGAGTTGCAAACAAATGGTCATATTCTGAAAACTATCAGGAGTATGTCCTAGCCGTGAACATTTTTAGTGACAGCTGAACGTTTTGATATAAGATATGTGTAGGTGGGCTTGAAAATGACAGAGTGATGGCAGTTTACAAATCATGTTCTGATTTTTCCTTCCACCCTGTAGCTGTGCTCTGCTCCCACTCTAGATGCACCATTCATTCCTATGGGAAAATTTCGCCACAAAAACCGCAATATTTCTTGAAGGATTCGGCGAAACGTTCCACAAAGTAATAGCAATCCGATCGGGAACAATCCGCACGTTTTGATATATATTGTCTTTGTAGTGTAAAAACTGTGGGAGGAGTTAGCGTGGCAAATATGGCTATATAATAAGAATAAGTAGGCGCTATAACTTTCACGCAAACTAATCAATATAAGCTTATTGAGATTTTTTTTTCCCCCATTGTGGCCAGAATTTATAAAATAAAAATTCGATTTTTTTTTATTGGATATGTTTTACATCAGAAAATAAAAATAGTTTTTTTTTTTTTTTTTCTTTTTAATTTTTCCAGAATTTTTGTTCATTTTTCATTGAGATCACAAAAAATAAACTCAGTGGTGATCAAATACCACCAAAATAAAGCCCTATTTGTGTGAAAAAAATAATATTGATTTTGTTTGGGTTCAACGTTGCATGACCGCACAATTACCAGTTAAAGTAGCACAGTGCTGAATAGCAAAAAAAAAAAAAAAAAAAGGGCCTGCCATGAGGGAGGGTAAAATCTTCCGGCGCTTAATTGGATAATTTCGACATTCCAGATTTGCAAAAAAAAACAAAACAAAAAAACAAGGATTCTATATGGAAGCGAAACAAGTATTACGCGCAGCGCACTTCATTCAACCTCAGCCTTGCAGTTTGAAGCTGGCTACAAGAGAAGCTCACAGTGTGCAGTGAAATC